AGAACCAATCCAAATCAATTCATTCACACCAAACACTAGTAATGAAGCATAAAGAAATAGGAAACGGGGCGGTAACTCACGTGACGACGGGTTGGGTCGTCACATCATGTAACACTGCTTCGGCCAAGGTGTGTAAGCCCCTGCCAGCTTGTGAGCACCAGCAAAGAGTATTTGACAATTCAACGAAACAGTATCACGTGACACCACTTCGGCCAAGGTGTGTAAGCCCCTGGCAACTTGTAAGCACCTTGACAATTCAATAGAGTATTTGTATCTCCACCAGCAAAAATACCGAATAACTTTACCCACCAAAGCTTAGGCAGATGGGCAGAAACCACAAAAAGTTCACAAAGAAAAAAGGGGTGACATCCTCTAAATTTTGCAGATGGATCATATGCCTTTCCCTGTTGGTCAATTTCCTGTAGGGAAATACATAATAAAGAAAGTACTGATAACCCTATGTTTTTTTACCAGAAAACTTTACTCACATAGAGTATCCTCCGCATGAAAAGGAGGAGAGTCGCAACAATAACAACAAAACCAGTGTAATCCCACAAGTGGAGTCTAGGGAGGATAATGAGTACGCAGACCTTACCCCTACCTTGTGAAGGTAGAGAAACTGTTTCCGAGCAAAGGAGGAGAGTTGCAAGAATGCAAAAACAAGATACAATATCCAAAAGGCAGGCATACAAATTGCCACCTGAATTAAAAACAAACCCATTTTTGCTTTTTGGTTAAGAGTAAAAGATAAAGTCTACATTCTAATGATCTTGTTCCTACATTGCACATTGTTTATACACCACACATTGTGCAGAAAATGTGACATTACCATATCATTAGGAGTAAGGAAGACTATTAATCAAAATTCAAAAATCAACATCTCATGCCGACTAGCAGTTTTTACATCCAGATAAAGTGATATGAGCTAGCATTTGCAGGTCGAAGCATCTGGTTGCAGCGTTGGTTAAATGCTACTAATGAAAATAGTATCTCGTTATTCTTAACAATAGGTCCGAGAGACCTTCAATTCATCAGATCACTGGGAAAGAAAAGGCTTCATATTATGCTGTTGGGATAGGGAAAAGATCTTGATAGCTCCAGAACAATTTTTTCTTTTTTGATAGGTCGATCTTGCTCTAGAACAATTCAGAGAGCAGAAACTACTGGAAACTTGTACTATGACGGAGCAGCGAAAGCTAACTGTAGTGATGAATCAACCACATTATTACAAGAATTGTACTTCATCCTATCTCCTTTCATTCAAGTCTTGCCCTCAAAAATTCTAACTTTCAGCATTTCAATTTCCTGAAGCAGAATCGGTTTGGTTACTAGCTCGTTGTGCTACTATCTCTTCTCCTATGACTCTTTACTATTGCTATATTTCAATTTGCTTTACTGTTCTAACTGTGATTGCCTGAACCGAGGGTCTCTGAAAACAGCCTCTTTACCTGCATAAGGTAGGGGTAAGGTCAACGTACACACTGCCCTCCCCAGACCCCACCCGTGGGAATAAAATGGGCATGTTGCTGTTGTTGTAATTTACTCAAGCAGAAAGTGCCGTAAAGTGGAGTAATTAGGTATTCAGTACAGTAACAAAGACATGATTTCTCCAATTGGGAAATCAATTGGGATAGAAACTGAAGAAGACCAAGTGCCACATAAATTACTAATAACCAAAGACGATAATACAGGATATATAGGGAGAAAAAGAATAGTGATGCAGGCAATACACTGCAATCCAAGCAAAGACTTGTATGACTTCAATCATTTGCTCAAAACTCTAACGACAGACATGTAAGCAACAGAGAATTTACGAAAGTTAGAAAAGGAAATCCAATTAGAGAGAAACTGCATGAGCATCATGGCATAGGTAAAAGGTGATAGCCCTGTAGATTCGTTCCCATGGTTCGATCCTCCCCTGTAAAACGCGGCTTGTTCGAGTTCTGAATTGCTTTTACGCGAGAAAGGGGGACCACCCTCGAAGCCTAAGATAAATATAAAAGAAACCGATTCTTAACACAGCAGTGCAGATGATTCCTTCAATGGAAAAGCAACCAAACCAAAAAGAAGTCATCTGGCAGGGAAGGATCAATTACCTAATTTAGGTACACACTGCATTCTAGCCTTCACAGGTTTCACAAGTTATTTCGTTTAACAATTCAAGCTTTACACTAGGTCCTCATGTTATCAATACTAAGTCGACATCGTCTGTTGTTATTTATTTGTTCTATTAAGTGATACATCAATTGTTAAAGAAACATGAAGTATGAATACGTTAATGAAGGAACAGGAAATCAGAAATCAGTAAAAAAACTAGTCACCAAAACTGGATTAGAAGAAAAAACTATATATAATTTCACTGATCGCCACTAAACTTATTCTATGTGTGTGTGTGTGTATTTCAATCTAAACAGAAACTTAAGATATTTTGTAGTTGATTGACAATATTTTACATCATATATTTCAATTAATTGCAGTTTTATTAAGTTTATAGTAACTTTTCCTGTACATTGTAAATTTCTTACTTTTTCTTCAATTTATGCTTTTCTTCACTACAACACATTTTATTTGACTCCGCAGTTAAAGCTCCATCTTTTGGTGCTTTTCTGCTTTTCGCATTTGACAGCACTAGTACTAATAATATCTAGACAAATTTGCAAGAAATAATTTCAAAGATTTACTGTTGGACCTAATTTGTCCCGTAAAATGGGATAGAGGAAGTATAAACATATCTATCTGTGCCACGCTGCCTAACTGCAGACAGGTTCAAAAGCTAAATATCTATCTTTTTACTTCTGAACCTAGCGAGCAATTCCCATGTACAGAAGATGAAAGTAGCTGAAATGAGGATGTTGAGATGGATGTGTGGTCATACCAGGAAGGACAGGATCAGGAATGAAGTTGCTAGGGATAAGGTAGGAGTGGCATTTGTAGAGGACAAGTTGCGGGAGTCGAGGCTGAGATGGTTCGGGCATGTGAAGAGGAGAGACATAGATGCTCCGGTCAGGAGGTGTGAGGTTGTCCATTGCGGGTGTGGGGAAGGGAAGGGACAGGCCTAAGAAGTATTGGGGAGAGGTAGTTAGGCAGGACATGTCATTGCTCCAACTTAACGAGGACATGACCCCACGATAGAAAGGTGTGGAGGTCGAAGATTAAGGTTGTAGGTTGACAGGTAGTAGTGTGTTCCTCCTAGGCTTACCAGTAGTACTAGGACTATTTTTGTATTATCTTATTCATAGTTCTTTACTATTACATGTTGTGTCATTCGCGCCCGTTACCTTAATATATTGTTGTTACTATTGTTTGTTACTTGTTGCTTTATCTCCAATGTTCCTTGAGTCAAGGGTCTATCGGAAACAACATCTATATCTTTATAAGGTAGGGGTAAGGTCTGTGTACACACTACCCTCCCAAGACTCCATTTATGGGACTACACTGGGTTTGTTGTTGTTAACCTAGCGAGGAAAATGAATCATATCCCTCTCTTTTTACTTCCCCTTCCTCCATCATATTACTTGTGATTAGTGAGTTATCAAAGTCAAACCGAAGTCTCTCTTCAAAAGCACAAGTAAGATCAGAAGTACATAGCTATGTCGCTTCAGTCATTGATATGAGATGGTATGTACAGTAAGTTCGAAGAATATCAGAAATGCAAGGGTTGTCTGAATTGGAAGAGCAAGTTGTTTTATAGAAGGATTTTACCCTTTTAAATTGTCTAAAGTAGTCAATTCTATAGTCATCAAGAGATGATTTTCCAGCTTACTTCTCCGCACACTTTCGCTGGTGAAATATATGCATCCTTCGTGTAGAAGGCAGAAATGTTTCCAATATTTTATAATCTTCTCCATCTCTATAATCTTACTTAATTATTTATTCTCTGCTAACCTCATCAGTGTTTCTGCACTCACCACATTCTTTCCAGCACCTCAAACAGCATCTACGAAAACCAATATTTCCCTATGCCAGAAGCTGAAATTAGTTCAGGTTACTCAAAGTATAGAAAACACCATTCTCAAGAAAACCAAGGCCGAGTCATTTGGTTAATTCACATTTACCAAGAAAAGTTTAGTCCTTCATCCATCTTCAGCATTTTACCCAATTACAAATTTTATAATTTCTTTTTAATAATAGTGGTGTCTGGACCAACTTGTGCACGCCACATTCCATATGCAATCTTCATACTACCAAATAGAAGGAAAAAAGAAAAGAGGAGGCTCTAAAACTGGTCAGCAGTAGAATTTACTTGAGTTAGGTCTTCAAACGTAAAGGGTAATCCTTAATCATGCAACAGATTTCAGAAAAAAGTTATGAATTAACAGCTATGCCTTCTCTTCAAAAATGCATATCTACACATATCCGTCTCCCACCAAAGTACCGATTTCTAGGCATGCCTTCACAGTAAGATTTGTTGGTTAATACACTACCAAGAGATTCATGGTAAAAAAAGAACAAAAAAACAAAAAAAACAGAGAGAGAGAGAGAGAGAGAGAGAACAATACCAACAATAAGGGGCACGATGAAAGCTGGAACTCGCAAAGCAGCTGTAGAGAGAGAATCCATTCTTCCGTAGCTTTCTAATCTCTAGGTCTCAAGTTGCACAAAAACAACCAACCTACAGAATACGATTACTTGTACCAGATTTTTCAATCTAAACGTTCATATGTAGTTCTCTGGCTCTTGGAGTTCAAGAGCTGGGGATAGAAGTTCCTAAGGAATGATTATCAAAGATATCGCCTTAAATGAACCTCAACCATTCTTTTAGGAAGAGGATCTTATGAAAGATGAAATTCTAACAGCTTTTCTAACCAATACAAAAGAGGCATAAGCACTGCTCTTTTACCTTGAGCAGTGCTATTATTCATAGTAGGTGAATATTAATGTTAGCACTATGGTTTTTTCCATTGTCAAATAATTAACCAATATTTCTTCTATTTCTCATTTCTTCAGTCAGTTTAATAAGTTGACATCATGCATCTATACCAATGAACTACAACATGGACTGTAAGGAAGCTTCCCAACAAAAAAAGAACAAAACAGAAAAGCAGAATAGATGAGAATTCGTAATAACAGAGATAGTGTGCATGAATGCACAAACTAGTAACAAGAGGATAATAAGAAATACAAATGCTACTTTTACCTGAATTGAAAGAATAAGACGAGTCCAAAATTTATCATAAATTACAGGGTTGTACCAATATAAGAAAAAGACAATCACCACTAAGGATCATGTACCTCCTTGCGTTGCCGAGATTAGACAAAAGTTTGAACTCCACCGTAGGGAACAATTGTTCAAGTCTATTCATATTCAAACTGAACATCTACATGCACATACTTCCTCATAAGCCTTACAATGAAAGATGTGAAGCTGGCTAATGTATGACATTCGTCATGCGTTTTGGTTTCTGAAACGACCCCATAGATTACCAACTTCCTCAAGTTAGGGCACCTTTCAAGTAATCCTGCTACCCAATGTGAGAACAGGTCGCTAATCACTGTCCAGCCTAGCTCCAAGATGACCACATTTTCCAATCGAAAAGAATCTTGCAATCCATACTGAAGTGTTGTCTCTCTTAGTTCATAACTCAGCGATAGATGAGTTAATTGAGGAAAGCAAGCAGAAATTGTCTCAATATCGACAACCTCGTCATCGTCATCGAACACAACTCCCCATAGCCTCAGTCTTCTCAGCTTTGACGATTTTGCTATCATATGATGGAACTTGGACCACATGATTGTGAAATTGCTGACGTCCACAATCTCAAGATTTTCAGTACTCTCGCCGATATCAAGATGGATGACGCTAACATCATCGATCTTAAGGAGTCGTAACTTCCCCTTGCTGACAAGCTCAAAGACCTCGAGCGTACAATCTTTCAAATGCAGCTTCTCGAGACTATCTGCCTCGAGTATGATTTTATCCAAACTAATGGCTTCAACATAGATATCTTTCAGAGAGTTACTACTCAACTCCATCGTTGCCTGTGGATCAGACATAACAATGTCTAGACTGACAAGATTCAAAGCCTCAACTTTTGTGCAGGCTGTAAGGAAAAGACTCAGGTCTAAAGCCGATATACTAACATAACTAAGTGAAAGAGACCTCAAGCAAGGGAATTTTTGATAACTAGGTTCGACACCCGTGATTGTATTGTGGGCCAGAGCCAACACTTCGAGCCTCTGGCGACCACATTTTTCGAGTATATTAATGTTCGGGGTAGTCCTAACATTGTAATGTAACTGGCGCAATGTTTCTCTGGTATACATTAGCCAAGCAATGACCGGAGCAGCAGAGAACTCATCGACGTCGTCCATTATGATTGAAAGGCACTGCAGTCCATTAGTCTGGAAAATAGTCTGAGTTATAATTATCTCAAGTCTGCTCCTTGTGAGCTCATGATAAACCGGCCAGTCATTCGAGTTAAAGGTGAGTGTCTGAAGATGATTCCGCCAAGCCTCTCGCCACTTCCGACAAGTAGAAGATGCAATCACAACATCTCGAGCAGCTCCAAGCCGGGACAAAATGTTCCCAATGACCTCAACAGGAAGGTACTCCATCATACCCTCAAATAAAACAACAATTTCAAAAGGGTACCAAAAAAACAAATGCTATAAACCAAGCAATACAATAATGCAACTTAAACCTCCAAACTGCATCAAAATATTATCCAACGGACGCTTATCAAGGAATCCAAATCCCAACATCTGGTTTTCTCAGTAATCTCTCAAGGGAAAGATTTTCAAAAGCTAATTAAACCCCAGATAATCTTGAGGGAAAATCAACCAAAAAATGAAATAACCAGGGACCCTTTTTAGTCAAATAGCAAATGGTAAATATACCACACATAGATTTTCTTGATTCCAACCACAAGTCAGTCAAAAACCCAAATCAAGAATCTTGTTTCTCAAAAGATAGAGGAGGATACCAAGTTAAAGTTTTGACCTTTAGAGCAATATTTGAGGAGCAAAATATCTCATATTTAACTCACCAATTTCCAATCCTGAAAAACCATAACAAAGCAAAATAAATAACTAAATCAAGAATCTGGTTTCTCAAAAAAACAAAGTATACCAAGTTAAAGTTTAGACCTTTGGAGCAATATTTGAGGAGCAAAAAATCCCATATTTAACTCATCAATTTCCAATCCTGAAAAACCATAACAAAGCACAATAAATAACCAAATCAAGAATTTGGTTTCTCAAAAAATACAAAGTATACCAAGTTAAAGTTTTGACCTTTGGGGCAACATTTGAGGAGCAAAAAGATCTCAGCTTTAACTCATCAATTTCCAATCCTGAAAAACCATAAAACAACACAATAAATAACTATACCAAAAACTGTAAAATGCATAAATCCAAGAATTTTAAGAAGCTTACCACATGAATCTTAATAGGATTATGATCAACACCGAGAATAAGAATCAATCGATCAAACAAAAACAAAAACCCAAAAAAAGAAGGTACAGAGAATAGAGAGGGTGAATAGAAGGAATATTGATTGTGCTTTGGGAGAGAAATGGTCAAGCCAGCATTATGGGGGTGGTGGGGGTGGTGGGAGAGACAAAAGACACACACTACTGTGTGTGTTAATGTGTGAAAAGTGGGTGGCACGTGAGAATCTATGTTACTCTGGACATTCAACTGGCCAATCATAGTACACACAACTATAGAAATTAGGGTTGCGCATAATTCGGTAAATATCGAATTACTATAACGAAATCGAAAAATTTTGGTATTTGATATACGGTATTTTTATATTTGATATGGTATTTGGTTTAAGTTTTTTAAAATATTAGTATTTGATATTTTAAAATAAAATACCGAAATAGTGATATCGTACCGAAATATATATTATATTACACAAAACACATATTATCAATTATAACATAAATATAAAAAATCCAAAATTTCATATATTCTCCAAGTTCATCAATTAACTCTAAACAAGTAACAAGATATTTCTAATTACCAAATATTCTTTTATATACAATTTTCTCTATTTGGGTCGATATTTTCTAGTTTTGGACAAAAATTTTGTCAACAAACATTTTCAGTTTTGTATTTTGAGTACGTTAATAAAGAATATTAGAGTCTATGCCTCTATGCACTAGTTAGTATTCAAACCGAATAAACTGAAGTTACCGGACCGAGTAAACCGAACCCGAAAGGAGAAAAATCGAATCATACCGAATTTAATTAGGTACAGTATTGGTATAAGATTTTAAGTAACCGAATACCGGAAATACCGAACCGAAATGTCTAAATACCGTACCGACCGACGAACACCCCTAATAGAGACCCACTCCTTCAATTGAAAATCATTTGTGTAAATTATTACTGCCTCTGGTCCACAATAAGTGACCAATTTGCTTTTTTATTTTGGTCCAAAATAAATATCCATTTATATAACAAAAAAAAAATTCAATTTGTTTTTCTAAACTACTCTAAAAAGTCATTTATTCCTCACATTTGAGAAGAGAAGTAAGTGTTACTATAACTATGCTGCAACATTTAATTAAGGGTAATTTAGTCACACTAACTATTTTATCTAGAATTTAGTATTTTTTTAATGGGTGTATTCAAAGCAAACTGGTCACTTATTGTGAACCGAGGGAGTAATAACTAGGGATGAGTTTATCTTTCTTCTTTTTGCTTTGCTTTCTACCATAAGAGCTTTTCAATATAGAGCTTAACTTATATACACTTATTGAATGAATGTTTATTAAATACACTTATTATTGATATGAATGTTTTATAATATGTTGTATTCTTTTCAAGAGTCTCTTTTTCTAAAGAAAAATACTCCATCAATTTGTAGTTTAAAAATTTATGTAAAAAAATTAACGAAATTTATTTTTTACTTTTTCATCTTCAAATTGACAAAAAAAAAATCCGACCAGGTATTCAATGTCTTAGTAGGCATAGTTATTTTATATCTATTTTGAAAAAATTAATGAATATTCAATAAATTAGTTGAGTTATGCATAACTTAATCCGGACACCACGGATATAAAAAAAGAATTTTTACATTCCTATGCCATATAGGAAACTATATTACCCTCAATGTTTAAGATTTGATATAATTACATTTAGTATACCTAATTACCAACTATATATCATTAGTGATTTTTAAGGGTATTAATTACACTCCTAATTTAATGGTACCGTATATTCTATCTAATACCACTCCCCCCATGTTTCTCTCTCCAATTCTCACACCTTCACCCACGTTTTCCTCCCACGCCCACGATTTTAAAATATATATATATATTTTAAAATATA